ATAAAGTTTATCATAATCTTTTTTAGACATTTTTCTTTGTAAAGAAATATTAAATATAGAATCTATTGGAGATGTAATTACAATTGAAAATAAAAAAATTATATTAAAAATAAAATAATTTTAATTAAGATAAAGAAATATTTTAATCTTACCATTTATATTATCATCTTGATCTTCTTCTATTTTATAAGTGTACTAACTGGTTCAAATGTTGAAGTTTCTATAACATTTACTTTGCTAAAGGAACTATCTAAGGATGAATATTTATTTTATAGTGGATAGATAAAAATCATTCCTGTAGATGAAAACATGCTGATTATGACTGTTCCTTATAGTAAATTAATTTCTTTGCATATATATCTATTACTTGGAACATACTAATGATAATTTCTCAACTCTTTTATTTATATAGCATGGTTAGCTAATGGTGCAAGATCACTTCCATTATTTCAGACACCTTCATTTCTTGCAGTTATTAATTCGACTGGTGGTATTATCACCAAAAATCTGATTGAAATATATTTCTTAATTTCTTTTAATGTTACTAATAATTTGTATGATTATCCAATTTTAAAGCTTAATCTTGCGATTTCTACACCAAATATTATTACCGAAATATTAGATGTCAATAAAAAGCTGTTAGAATGATTAAAAATTTTACCAAAATTAGATTTCAAAAAAATCCAATAATATTAGCAGTTTATTGGATGGAATTATTTATTCTAATTTTGATAATAAAACAGAACCAGATACATCCGCTTCAGATGGAATTTATTTTTTTAAAATTAAAATGCTAAAAATGTATGGTGATATTAATAATGAGAATGATTATGAATCTTGGATTAGCCCTAAATGCGGAATTAATAGAGGTGCATGATGAAAATTTTAATTGATATAAAATGATTTAAACAAGATGATAAAGTCATTATAATATTTTTTAAGGGAGATGAATTTTGATTTATTTATTCAAATTCTTTATTTTTAAAATGGAAATGACTTAACTTTGTAAATAAAATCTTAATAGCATTTGTATTGTTTGTACTATAATGGTTAAAAATTGCTTGTTATTCTAAAATTTTTTTTATTTATTTTGTTAAAAATGATTAATATTACTTTATCATATATCATATTAATTTTGACATGTCAAAATTGTTAATTTGCAATTGAATTATCATTTCTGTTTAAGAATAATATTTTTAAACAGATAAGTTATTATAATAGTAAAATTTGAAAAAAAACAGTAGGTCAAATAACAACATTCTCAGCTATTTCAAGATGTTCGAATAATATAAAAAACTGACTCAAAATAATTTCAATGTTTATTATCATTCTTAAAAACTTAAGCTAATCAACATTATTAATTTGTATTTTGATAGATTACATTTTTTTTTATTTATCACACTACCTTTAACTTGCATTAATCGGTTTTCTTACATTTCAACGATATCAACTATAGTAATAAAAGAAGATACATAAACGGAAAAAATGGAGGTGAATGCAACATTTTTCTAACTAATAAATGTTCATCTATTGCATTTGGAAAAAGTTTTATATAAAATTTTCAATTCAGTCACTTTCAATAGCCACAAATATGATAAGCATAATGATACATAGAACAATACATTGTTGGGTATTGTTGTTGTGTTTTGCATATGATAACAAGTTAATTTTATTCTCACCATAAAAGGGTATATTCATAATTTATATTGCTATATTACGTAATTCCAAAAAATTCAATGAAGAGTTGTTCTGTATGTTTTACATTAACCATAGATAAAGTTATAAATCTGCACAATTCTTCAATCTACTGAAATGGTCAGTATTTCTGAAATTAATTGACTTAGTAAAAATTATTTTTGATCCTGTACTGATATTAAAATAATAGCTTTCGTATAATAGATAATTTTTTATATATATTTTAATAATATAGTAACGTTAAATCTTAAAAGAAATATCACAGCAAATCATATGTTCTTATGAATCAAATTAAAATGAATTAATCATGAATTTGAACTAAAATTTAATTAGCTATTAATTGCCTATGATATTTGTGTTACTTTCATTTCTTGTAATAGGCATAACAAATTCCTTACTTATCTCCATGGATTGTTGGCTTCTTAAATCACGATGAGCTTCACATTCTTTTTATTTTGCTATTTTTTACGTTTTTATAATATTAATTTTAAAATACTAATCTTTATTATAAAATAAAATACAATTTAAAGTACAAAAATCTCTATTTCCTCAATAGTAAAACTATTTATATCTAATATTTTACTTTCATATTGAGCTTGATTGCATGTACCAGAATTATTATTAATAATCAAATCGGAATTAACAAAATTTAGCATCATGTTTTGATCATTCATTTATACATTGCATTATTTCTATTTACAACTCAATTAATCGTCAAATTTTTCAAATCATTTCCATTACCTAAGGAAAAAATAAAACTTTCAGTAGTATTAGTCCAGTAATAATTATATCTGTAAGTTTGAGGTTCACCATAACCATAATTGTTTTAAGGATCACAATTATCACAATAACCACTATCATCATAAATATGACTATTATCATAATAACCATATAAATCATTATAAAAACTACCACCATAGATATGTCTATTATCGAAATAATCAGAATAACTATCATAAAGGCTACAACCACCATAAATATAACTATTATAGTGATCATAAATATTTTTATTATAATTAATTTGTTGACAATAATTTCAACCAAGAGGATTATAACTGCCAATTATAGTTTTATTTTCTTTAGTTTTAATAATTAAAATACATGGTCTTCATCCATTATATTTACTATGTATAGTATTAATATCATAACTATCTCTATTACTACGATAGATAAGATTGAAATAATATTTACTATCAATTGGAATTCTCGCATCAGGATCCTTTCTATGAATCCAGTTTGTGAGAATAGCTGATTGTTTTGAGTTGATAATCATTGAATCAACAGAAATTTTTTTATAATGAGAAACTGATTTAGTTTGCTTAGGCTCAGTATTTAACATATGAAATAAAAATTTTCTTTAAATAGTGCTTTAGATAACACTTTCTTAAAAAGCCAAATTTTACTATGAAAATCTTTTGAAGAAATGTCGTAAAATCAGATATGTGTAATAAATTGATTCAGAGTACTCTTTAAAGCTATAAAATCTTTTTTATTCCAATTATCTAAATTAGAAATGTTTTTTTCTCTCAATTCTGAAGTTTGAGCAATTTTTTAATAAGATAATTCCACAATTCAATTTCATCAATTAATAAATCTTCTTTTTTAATTAATTCAAGTAGAATTTTTTTTTTCTAATGTTGAAAAATCTTTTGAATTTAAAAATGGTATAGGATCATTACATATAAAATTTAAATAATAATCTTAAATTTGTTTACAACTTTCTAGTTAAAAAACTGTATGAAGAGCTTTCTTTGAAGAGATTTTGTCGCAACCATTTAGCATTATTTTCAATCAACGATTTTTACACAAATATAGCCAATTCTTCCATAAGAAATTTTTCAAAAGCTACAAGAAGATCAAGGATATCTGAACTAATTTGTTTGCTCAAATCAAGTATACTAGAATATATAAACCTAATTAAAGTGTATTAATCTTAAAATTTATGATATCAAATCCAAAATGTTTTTATAATAATTTGAGAATATATTACCTAAGAATCATTTCAAAAACAGTAGAAAAATATTTGGTATAGTAAATTCAATCATTTTATTCTTTATAACCAAATCTTGTGAAAGAGCTTTTTTAAAATAAGAGGAATGAGATCTTAAAATATTAGAATGTGCGTGAAATTCCTTAGTATTGGGATTCTTACCAATTTTGATAATAATATGGTAATCATCTGCATTTTCAAGCAATTGAGAAAAATTTTGAGATAATCTGGAAAAAATTCAAAAGCCATTTATAAGAATCTTTTTAATTTTTTGTTCGTGAAATAATTAAGTTTTTACGCAACATAATTTATTTACTTATTATATTACACTTTCATGCGCAAATCATATGATTTTATTAGAATGAATCATTAAATATTACGTAATAATTTTCATATTTTTATTGAGATCATGACGTGATAATGTTTAAAGGAAAAAAATCATTTTATGAGATAATATTGATTATACTATAAATATTACAATTTTATTGATTCATATTAAATAATTATAAAAGTATTATGTTATTAATATCCAATTGTATATTTTGTGAAACTTTAATTTCTTGAAATGGTATGCGAAGTTCAAATTGATGGTGGTGAGTTAGTCTAATAATGTTTTAAATAATTTGAATATTTTGATATGCCGCCGATTTTTAAACTTGAAACCTACTTTTATATTTGCCTGATAATTGTAAATTATTCATTATCCAAGTATTGGTTGAATTTATCATAATTTAATATGTTCAGGTTTTTTCACATGTTAAAATTTTATCACGTAAGTGAAAAATTTAACCAATCATCTATTAACCAAAAAAAGTAATATTACTATTATTACAAATTAGTAATCTAATTGTTCTATTGTGTTTTATTATTTCTAGGGCATTGTGTCCCATTTCTGTTTAGTTAAATTTTAAGATTTGTTAGTATTTAGTTATACTTTTTGTAGATTAATGGTCTAACCAAATTGTTTACCAGCCAATATGTCATCTGGTTATTATATTTCAAAGACAAAAAGTCTTCTGAACAACTGGTTCTTATTGAATTTTAAGTATAAAAAAAGTGGGATTCTGCTTGAGTAGAAAAGTGTGTGTTCCTTATGTTCCTTGAATAATAACAATAGATAATATTTGTATAGTGGTTAGCATATATTCCTTTCCCTTTTATTTGTAATGAAAAAGAAAGTATTATTTCTTTAGAGTTTATATTTATAAACGAATGTAATAGCAGAAGGATTTTTAATTATGTAATAATTATGCAAAAATTCTTTTATAAAAATTAATCAATCAGTACTGCTTCAAACGTTGGCCTCTGTACTTTTAGAGTTAATTTTATTAAATGTTGATCCTACAAAATTACTACAACCATTAAAAATATCAAAATAAATGAATATTGGAGAAAAATTATATTATTTTTAAGATGTATTACAAAAATCCTTCTAAGTATCTCACTCTTTTATACATTTAATTTTAAAAGAACAACTCGCCTAGAGAATAAGTTGCCTAGAGATTGTTTTGGCCAGAGGTCAATTTGTCTTGTAATTAACTTGTCTAGTAGTCAATTTGACCTATGCTGATCTTCAAATCTCAGTTCATGCAAATCTCTAACTTTATTAAGCAAACAATATGATTGGTCTAACTAAAGACTATGTCACATGAAGCTTCGTTGACACGTCATTAAGAGAATTCCCAAGTGGTAAAAACAATTGATTTATATCATTATACTCAAATACACGACTGAAGCAATCCAAGATCATTTTAAAATCAAGCTGACCAATGATTATGATATGAATTAAACTATAATCTTTAACGTATTAAATATAGTAGATAAGATTATCATTTTCATCGGTAACTCATAGCTAATGAAGGATGCGATCCTATATTAGTCTAATTCATTTTCAATCTTATTGACTACTATGAATAAATTGTTGCAATGCGATTCATTAAATCTATTATTAATTGATATTTCATGTATGATAACTGACTTCTACTTGCCTTGTAGGCTTCCTATGTATGGCAAGAGTTTGCGAATATATAATGACATAGTATTTTTGGGTTTTCTTTTGACCACGTATTGCCCACTAAGGTATCAATTCTGTATAATTTCCTTAACGATGACTAAGTTTTGTATCAGTTAGGACAAATCTCAAGTTTTACTCCAGCATTACTATCGCTATTAATTTCGAATCTGTTATCTATTTGTTGTATTCCTTGACATTGATCTTTATTTTCCTATATTGGACTGACATTCCAAACATGTATTTTGAAATCTTGCCTTTTTGTGTTGACAATTGAGGTTTGCTATTGCTAGACAAGATAGAAGATCTATTTTTATCATTTTCAAAACTTTTTTCACTAATCATTTCTGCATCTTTACCAGATATGAAACTGGTCTATAAACTTTGTAATTTTCTTGGAAGGATGACTGATGTAATACATCTAAAGCAGGCTAAGGCATTATAGGAATTAGACGAGTAAATGCTGGAGACCATAATGAGTGAAATTTTGTTTGTAACTACATAAAATATGTTTTTTTTAAAAAGTAATATACTTGCTTTCCTTTTTTATCTAAAACTTGCATAAAGGGTTCTACAAATTCCATTATTATCTGTCTCATTTATATTGTTTAACCAAGTTTATAGTTTTTGTGAATTAAGATAGAAATTGAAATAATAAATATTTAAAGTGAAAACCTTAAACTTCACTTGTTTTGGACTTTTTCCATTGTAGTCGTGGGAGTAACTTATAACTATATGGCATTTGCTATTTCTGAATCATATGATATACTTTTTTATACTACTATTACTAAGCAAAACAGTAAGGCAAAAATGGGGTTTCTGGGACAAAAATCCAAAAGATCCAAAAGATATCCAGAAAGGTTTTCTGACCACTCACGAATCAATTCTAGCTATACAGATCCATTATTAAATACAAAGCTTTAGCGTAATTTGACTTAAATATAGATAATGATATCGAACTTGGCTAGAAATTAGTCTGTCTGATACCATAAAGTATACTGTTTGATATAACTATTCTAGCCTGATTTTAATCTCAAATAATATATCAAAAAATTTTTACTATTCTATTTGCCTTTGGCGGGCTCAGCAAAAATCAAGGAACAAAGTGACGTGATTTGAGCTGGGCCTGACATTGCAAACCCAAATTTAATAATAACTTTTATGCT